CCCCAAAACCCCAAAACCCCAAAACCCCTTTAGGGTCTAAAGTGGTTGAACTCTGGGAATTATGCACAAAATTCTCTGATGCATTTATGGAAAGCATCTGATACTCTTTTCTGACCACATCCACTGAGGATAGAGAAGTAGTTTAGGTCTATTAGGTAGCTATAGAGGTTAGAGAGGCTTTTACAATAATTTCGGATCTTCTAGTGATACTATGAAATCATACCCTGCAATTGAAATTCCTAGTTGCTTGTTTAACTCAAAGCACACTTTCTTAAGAGCTTCTTGATCAACTTCAACTTCGCCTTGGATATCCTTTCTAAAACAATTCATTTCCAAATAAGCTACCCTCTGCCGCTATTTATTGTTCTTCACTACTCGAACTCTAAAATTTTAGACAAAAATTACGTTTCTTTGAAGTATGAATTAGGAATGCTGTAATCTGTCCTAATAATACATTCACCTTCTGCAGTCCCTCTGAACAAGAGACAATAGCATTTCATCAAGGAATTTTCAAAATGAGGTATCAATGATTCTACCTATAATCCTAGATAGTCGCAGATATAAAGCAGCACGAAAGGGTGAGACCTAAGATTACCTGATAAACTCCTTCAGGGATATCCCTGAATGATTCCAACTCAGAGGTGAAATATTTCTCATGAGGTAGGACTTTCACGAAGCACCTAGAGTAAGAAGCCATCTTACCTGTCTTTCTTGACAACTATGGGGAAAGCAACCTTGTTCTCCTCCAACTTATCCATAATCTGCTCCAAGCTTGTATCAGGATTCTTCTTTAGAGTACAGAATGGTGGGAGGGAGACTTTTACGCCCAAGTTGGATGATAGTGTCTGGAATTCTTCAGAACTCAATGCCTTTTGCAGCTCTACTTGGATACTACTCCTGTAAAGGAACGGAACAATTTGACTTGAGTGGTCAATTAAGGGGATACTTCTTTCTTCACAAAATACTTCAAGGTCTTTTAGATGCGTAGTGTCTAATTCTTCATAGAGTTCACCGTAAAAGTCTTGTGATTTATGAATCACCAAATCGATATTCTATATCTTCGGTGGTGAGATTTGTAAATGGGAAAATCCTTTGTGATCTTAATAAAATGACACACATACCTTCGACTCTTTGTGAAAATAACTAAACTTTATGTTTTCACTGTGAAGGACTAGTCCATTTTTGCAGAGTTTAGATGGAGGATTCTTTTCGTGAAGATAAACAATGCCAACATTGATAAGTTTGCTTGAGGGAAGAGAGCCATAAAAATCATCAATATCTATCTTTTCTTCTTCAAAATTTGGAATATTTTTCAGCACTTCATTATCCAAGTGTAAAACCTGAAAAGCCGATTCTAATTGAGCAAAGCTGATCATATCAATATCAGGCTGAAATCCTTTCTCTTCTCTTTCCTTAAACCCAAAATCTTGAACATTAAAAACTGTTCTAACCCCAATCTTTCTTGCTGGGATAAGCCATTTCTTCGCATTCCCACTAATCATGCACATCTCATACGGATCTAAAATCACATCTCAATTCCTTACATATCCCTTGTTTTCCAAATTCTTCAACCTTAGCTCTCAACTTCTCTTCAACATCTTCCTCTAAACCATCTCTACAAAGCCTACCTTCACAGCACAGGATCTCCTTGAACACCTTCTCATCTCCTAAACTTTCCTTCACAGCAGCATATGCCATACAAATCTGGCCTAATTCCCCAACCAATCACACTATCACTCCTTTCTGTTCCAATCCTCTTACCCATTCAAAATCCTCATTCTTCTTTACCCCAACTAAACCTCCCTTCTCCACTAAAATCTCTTCTATTTCTCTTATATTCTGTACACTTCCTTCCAATCCTTCTTCAAAACCACTACATTCCTTCCTATATTCCACCGCTTAATACTTCTACGAAATACTGCAAGTCAAAACCTTCAATATTAATCTAACATACTTCACATATAACGAAGAGGCTATTTTCCTTCCTGTTCTAACCTTCTTTTCTACAGTACAAAAGTAGTAGTGCAGAGGGAGATTTCTGAGGAAGGAAGGGTTTGGAGGAAGAGATTTAGGGTGACTGAAGGGGTAGGAGGAGAGGGGCTTACTGTGAGGAAGAGAGAGTGAGACTGTCGATGAAGATTATAAACATTTTTTTGGGAGTTTAAATATTGGATTTTTTGGGGTTTTGGGGTTTTGGGGTTTTGGGGTTTTGGGG